ACCTTGGCATATCAGGACGATGCTCTAACCAACTGAGCTACACTCCCAGGGCCCCATGTTTCATACTTTTTTTAAAAAGAAGAACTGGAGGCCTTGCTCTGTGGCTAGAGAGGGCTCGGAAGCCATGACACTCCTGTGGCAACAAGCACACCCACTGCCCAGACCTTGGTTCCTAACACCATTTTCCAGGAAAAAGAACAAGGGCTCCTAAAGAAATGGCTAATTCTGTGGGGCAGGGAAGACGCCCCCTAAACATGGCGTGGGAAAATAAACTCATCTTCATTCAGAAAAACTCCAGAGAATTTGTTCAGATCCTCCCCCCTTGATTGTGGAGTCGCTTTGCATCGTGACTTCCTTCCAGAGAGTAGAATGTGGAACGGTGAGGGAGAATCACTCTCCCGTGGAGAAGCTGGCAAGCGCTCCTGAGCCAGGTGATCATGGTCAACATCAACAGCGATCAGCCGTGCCTGTAGCATGCACCCTGATATGATGTAATGAGAACGGCACTTCACCGCTGTGATCTCCCTTCCCAAAACTCATAACCCCAGTCCAACCGAGAGAAACACATCAGACACATCCCAGTTGAGAGACACTCGACAGAATTTTGATGATGCTTTTAAATTGTCATCAAAACCAAGGGAACAATTCTGAGAAACTAGAGCATCTCAAGAGGAACTTAAAGAGACAAGACGACAAAACGTAATGGGGTTCCCTGGCTGGGATCCTAGAAGAGAAAAAAAAAGGACATGAGTGGAAACATAACGGATAAAGAACTGGCATTCGTTAATGATAATACAGCGATGTTTATGTATTAGTTGTGACTATAACTATCAGGTGTTAACAGGGACTATCAGCTGAGGACAATGAGGGTAACTGGGCTTGGAGATAGGGGACCTCCCTATACAATATTCATAACTTTTCTGTAAATCTAAAATTATTCTAACATTAAGAGTTTATTTAAAACAACTGAAGATTCAAAGGTAGTAAGCAAGTGGCCCGAGATGACACACCTGGAACATGCAGGACAGGGTTTGGAGCCCAGGGAGGGGCATTGGAACGCTGGGGGCACCACGAGTCTCGGTCATGTGGACTTTAGCGTGTCTGCCCTTGCCCTTGTCTGCCTGGCTCCCTGGGGTGCATGAGTGCAGAGCATGCATGGAGCATGAGCTGGGAGTCCGTGTCCTGCTTTGCTTCTAAACTAAGGTGACCAGACATCCCGCTTTTGGTGGGACAGTCCCGATTTTTAACAATTGGTCCCATGTCTCATGGGACGCCTGGTCACCTTATAAACGGCCACACCAGCAGGACGGCCTCCATGAGCCTCTCTCAGGGGTGATGACCTCGGTTTCATTTGACCCTGACGGTACCAGGCACGGAGTTTGGGCCTGTGGAATGCAGGAAGGTGATAACAGCAATGATTTCTCCAAGCGTGTACGCGGCATTTTCTGTGGGAGAGCACTTTCCAGAGTGCTTTACCTGTGTGGTTCATGAACCCTTACGACACCCTCTGCGGTAGGTCCTGTGCCACGGCTGTTACAGCCTCCAGCCTGCTTTTCTCACGCGATAGGGTGTCCTGGAAATAATTCCATGTGCTAACGTGAAAACCCGCCTCGTTCTTCTGAGCTGCTGGGTAGGACTCTCCGGACTGGATGGACCATATTTCATTCAGCTCTGGTCCCATAAAAAAGCGGGGACTTCGGGTGTTTTCCAGTTTCTCGCTGGGAGGGTGGGCATCCGTGCACCGCTCTTGGCGGGTGTCTCTCTGAGTCAGAAAGTGCGAATTCTTTGAGGCCAGGATCGCACGGGGCCTCGCCCATTGCCGCCCCCCCCCCTCCCTTCCTCTGTCTCTGCCAGCTGGTTCAGCTCAGACCCCCCAGGTTAATCACACTTCGCCCCCGGGAAGCCATTAGCAGGGTTGAGAGGCATCGGACCCACTTCCCCCAGAGCTCAGCACCGTCCTTATGTCCTCGCCTCGTCCCCCTCCCCCAGCGCAGGTAACTCAATCCAGGTCAGCTGGTGGAGTATGAGGTAGTGTCTCGCTGAGCGTCATGGTATTTTACCAAGTCCGAAATGTGATCGCTACTGTTGTCACACTTTAGCGCCCCCAACAATCCCCCTGCAGATGAGAAAACCAGAGCCTCCCACATACCTTTCCCCTGACATCAGGGAAAGCACAGGGAGCCCTGCCCAGGGGCCCGGAGCCCGTGACCCCCAGAGCAGCTTTTGAGCTTGAGCAAAGGACGGTAGGGCACAGAGAGGTGTTTTTCCAATTTCAGGCAAAGCAAAGGGCTGGGGGTAATTCGCTATTCATTTCATTTTCTCTGTGCTCTGTCTGTCCAGTCTGTGTTGGCTTTTCAATAGTTTTCATTAATATGCCAGGAGCACTGGTCCTGAGACCCTTCCAACAGAGGTTCAAACGCAGGTGCCCTCAGAGGCCAAGCGACCAGGCGATGTAAAGTGAAGAAAGCCCCGGAGACACTGGGGAACTGGATGTCCCAGCCACCCATTGCCGGGAGGATATAGGAACGCTAGCCCTGCATTGCCGGGGCTTGTAAACTCTCAGAGTAGCTGAAAACCTGAGACACAGACAGAGACACGGAGACTCCCTGGGTTTTCACCCAGGTATGGTTTCCAAAAGCAAACGCTAAGTGCTCTGTGGCTAAATAAGCCGTGTCTCCCGGCCAGCTTGTCAGCTCTTCCCTAATTGACTTTACCAGCTAGGGGATAAGTTGTCAGCCTGGTTCTTTTATCCCTCAACATGCCAAAAGGATTTTCTGTGATGTTGGGAATACATGCACCATTCCCGATGGTAGCCACCAGCTCCGTGTGGCTACTGAGTGCTTGAAATCAGATGAAGGGAAAAATAAAAGAAAGAAAAATTGAATTAAGGAACTGAATTATGAAGTTTATTTCATTTTAATTTAAATATAACTATAGATAACCACATGTGGCTAATTGCTACAATATTAACATGACGGTGAGATGTTTGTAACTTCGGGGTGCACCATAGAACTCGCTACTTTGGGGAGGGGGTCATAGATTATACCTGAGACCACCAAACATGAGTTAGAGTCCTGTACGTGGGAAGAAAGGAAATACGAAATAATGAGCAGAAGAGGATTTAGGTATAGGCCAGTTATCTGCCGGTTCCATAGGGGTCCCCCGCTGTCCCCCAGTTTTTTCCAGCACTCTCCAAAGAGTCTCACAACCAGGACCACCACTCACTGCCCACAGTGTTCTTTGCAGTAATAAGAACTCACATTTATGTGTCACCTACTGCGTGCCAGGCATCTCCCTTTTCCTCCTGTCACCCCTGTGAAAAAGGTTCCATCAGCATCTCCACGGACCAGCCCGACCTCTGGTTGCTCGAGGTCACACAGCTGGGACGTGGTTGGACCCAGGACCCAAGCCCAGGCGGTAAGACTCTGGAGCCTGAGCTCTCACGGGCTGGCCCAGCAGGCTCGCAGGTTTTGCCGCATCAGCATATTCAGATGCACTCTCCGGTGGAGGTGGAGGTGACAGGATTGGTGTGTACTGCGTGCAGCTTCTGTGGGGTGCTTAGCATCGCTCTTAACTCCTGGTTGCAAAGTGACAGAAATCCAACCCCTCGCGCTTAAACCAAGAAGGTATCAGTTTCCCGTGGCTGCTGTAACAAATTACCGCACACTTAGCGGCTTAAAACAACACAAGTGTATTCTCTTACGGTTCTGGAAGCCAGCAGGCCAACGGGAGGCTCGCTGGGCTGCAGGTGTCAGCTGGGGGGTTTCTCCTGCAGCTCGGAGGGGAAATCTGCCCTTTGCCTTTTCGGCTTCTTCTTGTATTTCTTGGCTTCTGGCCTTTTCCTCCATCTTCAAAGGGCACCACTCCAATCTCCTTATCCTCTCTGTCATCAAATATCCCTCCACCTCGCATTTACAGGACTTTGTGATTACATTCGGGGCCACCTGGAGAATCCAGATAATCTCCCCACCTCACATCCTTCACTTAATCACATCTGCCATGTCCCTTTGGCCAGATGGGTTTTCGGGGATTAGAACGTGGACATCTTTGGGGGACCTTTATCCAGCCGGCCATGGTCCGGGTGGCTTGGTTTCAGTGATGGCTGGATCCAGACCAAACAAGGGGACCCGTCCCTCCAGCTGCCAGAAAGCACCTCTCTTCCAGAAGTCCCAGCCAGAGTCCCATGGCTCGTTCCCCTTGGTCCAGCTTAGACCACATGCTCTCCCTGAAGCATTCACTTTGGCCAGAGGGTTGCCAGGTTGTCCCTTTGATTGGGTGGGCCTGGATTATGTGCCCACCTTCATCATTCCCCTCCCCGTGGTCTTAACCCACCTTTGATAAGGTGCTTCCCCAAGGGAACTGAGAGACCTGTGGGTGGTCGCAAGCAGCATGTCATTGGATTCTGTTGAATGGCAAGCCCTCGGGACAGTGCCTGGCACATAGTAAGTGCTCAATAGGCCATGATCTCAGGTCATTGGACGCAGAAGGGGACTTGGGGAGGGGGTACATCCAGAGGCTAATGCCAGAAGAAGATAAGGTTCACTAAGTAGGTGAGGGTGGGAGAGAATTCCAAGCAGAGGAAACACCTGGAACAAAGCAGAGGTTTCCACCATGTGCCCTGGTGTCCCTGGGAGTGGACAGACAGGGTGGTCCTAGTGTGTGCCCGTCCTCCCAATGTGATATTAATAGCAGCCCCTTGGTTTGCATGATAAATTATATCCTTATAGCCAACCCATTGTTTATGAGGAGACTAGCGGTGAAAGAGGAATGAGACTTTGCCCAAGATCATCGACCTCGACCTTTAGTGGCAAAGCCCAGGCTAGAATTCAGGGCTCTGTCTCCCAATCCAGTGCTCATCCTACCCCTCTCGTTTAAACCGAAAACGTATCCGTTTCCTGTAGCTACTGTAACAAATTACCTTTATGAAACCAGTTCTTAAAGGCGGCATCTAACCAGTCACATTTCTCCCTCTTTCCCTCCTCTTGCCAAATGCACCATAGGATTGTGACCAGATCCACGTCGATGACGTCTCATCCGATGACAACGGCCAAGATTTAAGGTAGGAATGGGTGGAGGGAATCAAGTAAGCCCCTTTGGATTGGTCATCGCACTGGCCTTCCACTAAGAAGTGGAGGGGCGGGGCTGGCTGGTTGTCAGAACAAGACATGCCTGCTTCCAGCCAGAACTGGGACTTGTGTTTCTCTGCGCTCAGAAACCACACCCCCACCTGCAGCCTCCTCCACATCCCCTCAAGTCCTTGAGGCTGAGACTTCCACTAATTCTCTGTGAGCCTACTTATGATCCTCTCTCTATTTCTTGTTTGCTAAAGTAATACATGCACATTATAAAAAAAATCATCTGTGGCCAGTGTGGCTCAGTTGGTTGAGCATTGTCCCATGCACCTAGGGGTTTGGGCACATGCCAGTAGGGAGTGTGCAGGAGGCAGCCTATCAGTGGTTCTCTCTCGTTGATTTCTTTCTTTTCTTTCTCTCGCTGTGGCTGCCGGGGGTGGGAACCTCCCAGTGGCCAGCGGCTCTGCCGGCGTCCCCGTCTCCGCACGGAAACTCCGTGGCCCAGCAGCCACATTCGGGGCGGGGTTCTACCTGCCAAGCACCAGCAATCCACTCTGCCTCTGGCAATAAGTCAACAGAGTAAAATAGGGAATTCCGTGGCAAGATGTGGAGGTGCTCACAGAATGGGGAGCAGGGCGGCGGGCTGGCCTCAGAAGGAGGGAGGGCAGGGCAGATTCGGGGATCACCATAGTGGGAGCCGATTTTCTTATGGACTCTTCTGTCAGGATGAACCAAACCCAGCCTTTTTGTATTATTATTTAATTCTCTTTCATCCAGAAATTCTAAAGGGAGAAAGAGGGGCTTTCCCTACTGTGGCCTCTGCACACAGGGACAGGGCTAGTCCTCCAAAAAGAAAATAGACATGTTATTTTCTACCCAAAGAAAGGAAAGCGGGTGCTGGTTAGGCAAAAGCAGAAGGCGCCCCGATTCTTCAGGAGGCTGATAACCCTGTGGTCCTGCTGCTCCCACACATGTGTACACACAACACACACACACACACACACACACGCATACAGCACCTCACACACTCGAGGGGAGGGGAAGCTGTGGATCCCTGAGCCCCACCCATGGTTCTGAGTTCCCTTCCCCCATTAACACTGCCTCTTCTCCCGCCTGCCCCCTCTCCCTCCGCAGCACGTACAACTTCTCCGCCGATGGCTTCCACAGCTCGGCCCCGGGAGCCAACCTGTGCCTGGGCTCCGGCGTCCACGGCGGCGTGGACTGGATGAGGAAGCTGGCCTTCCGCTACCGGCGGGTCAAGGAGATGTACAACACCTACAAGAACAACGTGGGCGGTGAGTGTGCCGGGACAGGGCCGCCGCGTGGTGCGCAGGCCACAGCCCACCAGGGGAAGGGCACCCAGGATGGCCGCTGTCGCTGACCTCGAGGGCACTGTGCCAGGCGCTGCTCTGAGCGGGTTGCGGGGATCGGCTCACTCGGTGCCATCCTCATGCTGCCCCTGGAAGGGGGCTCTGTGTCCGCACCGTCACTGTGCGGGGAGGAGACGGAGGAGTCGAGGACGCATGCTGCTCAAGATTGCAGGACTCCACCCCACGCCTCCCTCACAACCACTGCTCCTCCCAGTGTGGTCCTCGGCCAGCAGCGTGGGCATCGCCTGGAGGGGCTGGAAATGCAGGTTCCCTGGCCCCGCCCAGGCCTGCGGAGTCTGAAGCTCTGGGCGAGCCGGCCTTCGGTTTCTGCCACCCCTCTGGGGGGTGTTCTGATGCTCACTCGGGTTTGGGGTTTCAACCCCCGCTGCTCAGATTGTGCTCTGTGGACCAGCCGCAAGAGCATCACCTGGGTGCTGTTAGCTCTCAGGACGCCGGGTAACCTGTGGCAACAGAGTCCGAGAAGCACTGGAAGCCACTGGTTCTCGAACTTGGCTCCTATTGGCACCACCTGAGGGATGTCTGATCTGATTTCCTCCGTCTGCCCGCAGCCCCGGCATCAGATGCATACGGTCCCCGGGTGATGCTATCTTGCGGCAGACATGAAAGCTGCGGGCTCGGAGCAGGAGAGCGGTGCGTTATCGCACTGAACGAGCCGTCTGGGAGGGGGTGGGGCAGGTGGGCTCACAGTCCCCAGGCCCTAGCTCACTACCCTCTAAGTCCGTGGATCTTAACGGAGATGATATCCCCAGAGGCACTGAAAGGGAAAAGCCCACAAAGGGAAAGCTAGGGGTGTCTACCGTATGCCCTTGGCCCCACAGCTCCAAGGCTCCCTCCTCCACCCCTGGAGGCTCTCAACTTAGGTAGATTCCACTTCCAGTCCTAGTGCTGGCACCTTCCATGTCAGTCTCCCTGAGCCTCGGTTTCTAAGTCTACGAAATGGGGCTAAAAATAATCCTGCTTCCTGGGTGACGGAGAGGTTTGTTGTTAACACAGACAAAAGGCCTGGTACATAGCAGGCACTGACTAACAAATGGTAGCATTTGTCACTAGTTCCTTCCAGTTTTGCTTGGGAGTTTTTTCGGGATCTCCTGGGTCTCCCACTTTCCCAGAGGGACGATCAGCTCTTCAGGACTTTCTGTCTCGCCCGTGGCTGCAGACGAACGAAGTCCTCGGAATAACTAATGTTTGTTGAGCACTTCCTCTATGCCAGACTTTGTGTTATTGGCTTTTCGTCTAATAGTTTAGTTGCTCTTCACAACTTCCCTATAAGTTAAGTGGTTTTATCACCAATGTTGTGTGAGGGTGGATACTGAGATCAGAGAGGTTAAGTAACCTGCCTGGCATCACACAGCTCCGGCCAGCAGCTCCACCATCTCACCCACATTCAAGGCCTCTCACACCCGTCTATCAACTGCAGGAGTGAAACAGGGAGCTTCGGGGTCAGCCCTGCTTGCTCACCCAGCCCTACAAGGAGAAAGGGGAGGAAGGGAGCTGGGGTGGAGAGACAGGGATGGAGTCAGCCAGCGGAGGCCATCTGCTCCCCATCCAGGTTAAGCCCCAGGAAATACCCGGGGTTTCTGTCAGGCTGCTTTGCTTTCCCATAAACTGAGGGGAAATTACTCGCTGTGTCAACAGGCCGGGAGCTCAGGGCTGGCGGGATGCCAGTGGGCAGCCCCCCTCCCCTCTCCCTCTTCAGTCTCTGATGCCTCCTTCCCCACCTCCGAGCTGACTCTGCATCACAGAACCAGCCTGCTCAGGCTGCAGGAGACAGGAATGTAGCCTTCTAGCGTGGTAGCCAGGTACTTAGCTAAAAAATCCTGGTTCTCATTACTAATGAGATTGTCATAGCGTTATTATGTTAATTATTAAAGAGAGAAATGGCTAGTAGAAGGCAGCTAGCCATGTCCACCACAAATAGCAAACAAAAAGCCCCAAGAACAAAAGAACTTGGTGCTTTTCAGGAAAAGAAGAAGAAGCAGCAGCAGCAGCAGCCAGTGTGGCTGCCTCGAGGGGGCATGCGGAAAGGGATGGGATGAGGGGCCAGTGCCCAGCTGGCACAGGCCTTGTAGAGTCTTCTGCATGGAGAGGATGTTGTCTAAATAGCAAAGGCATGAGGCAGCACTTGGTCCCAGTGATTCATCCTTGCTTCAACACATATCAACTCATCACCAGCCATGTTCGCCCGGCTGTAGGGCTGGTCCTGTGGCGGGAACAAGACCGACTTGGTTCCTCCCTCACAGAGCCAACCATCCAATGGCCGAGGCCGACACCAAACACATGATCACGCAGAGACACTTTAAATCACAGCTGTGAGAAGAGGTGCAGTGCGTTGGGAGAGCATAAAGTAGAAGGAACTGACCAGAATAGGCCTTCCAGAATTAATGGCATTTATGATGAGCGTGAAGGGTTCAGCAAGGCAAAAAGGCAAGGTGAGTAAGAAGAGTGGGCTCAGTCAGCGTGGCTCAGTTGGTTGAGCATCATGCAGTGCACTAAAAACTAAAAGCTGTGGGTTCTATCCCCAGTCTCCTCTCTCTCTCTCTCTCTCTCTCTCTCTCTCTCTCTCTCTCTCTCTCTCTCCTTCCCTCCCTCCCCTTCTCTCTAAGCATGTCCTCAGGTGAGGATTAAAAAAGATAAGAAGAGCCCTAACTGGTTTGGCTCAGTGGATAGAGCATTGGCCTGTGGACTGAAGGGTTCCAGGTTCGATTCCAGTCAAAGGCATGTACCTTGGTTGTGGGCACATTCCCAGTATGGGGTGTGCAAGAGGCAGCTGATCGATGTTTCTCTCTCATCAATGTTTCTAACTCTCACTTCTTCTCCCTTCCTCTCTGTAAAAAATCAATTATATATATATTTAAGATAAGAAGAGTGGTTCAGGGTAGACATGAGGTGTGTAAGGTCCTGAGGCAGGAACATATTTGGTGTTTCAAGGACCAATGAGGAGGCCCCTCAGCTGGAATGGAAGGACATAGGGCAGTGGGGCAGGGCCATGGGCTGTTGAGTCTGCACATTCTCTTAAGGACACAGATGGCTGAGAGAGGACAGTCAGGGTTAGAAACACCGTGAAGTGGGCTCCGGGGGTCAGCTGCCCGTCTCCATTATTTCCTCTCGATGGTGAGCCAGTCACAAAGCCCCACAAAGCCTGTTTCTTTAACTGGCTAACCTGATATTATATCTCAACGCAAAAAAATAAAAAAAAAAGTGTCCACCTCTAGGGTCCATGTAACAATAAAATGAAATTCCATGTTAAAAGCACAGGGCCCTGCACATAGTAGGCACTCAATAAATGTTAGTCTTTTTTTTTACTTATTAACTTTTGTCTCCATTGTAACAGTGTAAGCTCTATAGTTGGGATATTTTGTTTATCCCTGTGTGTTCCATGCTTGTCACAATATGACCATGTCGAAGGCACTTCTGAATTTTTGTTGGATGAACGGATCAATCAGACAATCCCAAAATAAGATTGAGATTACTGGAGTGAAGCTGACTTTGGGGGTCCTCTGATTTGAAACCTCAAGGTAGCTCCACTCCCCTTCCCTAGTGCTAAGCCCTCCCAGGCCTTCGTAAATGACAGCCGCCATGTCTTCCTTCCCTGCGCCCACAGGCTTGATAGGCGCTCCCAAAAGAGAGACCTGGCTGCAGCTCCGAGCCGAGCTGGAAGCTCTGACCGACCTCTGGCTGACCCACTCCCTGAAGGCACTGAACCTCATCCATTCCCGGTAAGTGGGAGCCCTCGTGTTCCCTCCTCCCATGTCCACACTCAGGGAACAGGACTCTCCAGATCCTCACCGGCACTTTCCAGACGTTCGATCGTGGACGCCTGGTGCCGGGGATGAGCAAGGAGCTGCCGTGACCGCCGAGGGCTGGCCTGGGGGTCCCCTGGGGTTCTGACTACCGTCTCCCCGACCTCAGGCCCAACTGTGTCAACGTGCTGGTCACCACCACCCAACTGATCCCCGCCCTGGCCAAAGTCCTGCTGTACGGACTGGGCTCCGTGTTTCCCATCGAGAACATCTACAGTGCAACCAAGACAGGTAAGGGGACCCCAGCCTCAGGGGACTCAGGGCAGGGTTAGCGTTCTGCCCCCGGCGTGGGAAGTTCAAGGAAGACGCTAGTGATGTTCCAGAACTTGCCCAAGGACAGGGCTCAGATCCCCAAAACAACCCTTCCCGCCAGAAATTGGTTGGGAACACGTTTTCCACAGTTAGGATACCTGCACGCCTGCTCTCACAAACACCCCAAACAAAAGGCTGGCACCACTCTCAGCTGTGGTTCTGCTGGGCTCGGCTCCAGGTTCCAGTTTGCTCCCCATGGCTCCTCCCTGTGGAGCCTGCGGCCGCCCGGGACCACACTCTTCCCGTGGCAGAAGTGAAGGAGCCGAGACAGACCATCCACGCCCACTTCCCATGGCAGATCCCTCACATGTCGTTGGCCCAACCTCCTTAGTGGGAGGCACTGCAGTGGGTGTAATTCTGTTCACTCAGATTGACAGCTAGGACCCCCTGCTTTGACCCAGCCTCTGCTCCCACAGAGGAGGAAACCAGGGAGGAATGGTCTGCAACAGAGTCGATTCCCTTGAGAGCAGTGCCAGCAGAGGAGTTCAGAGCTCAGACACTGGAGGCAGGCAGCCTGGGTTCAAATCCTGGCCCTGCGCTTGGCCTAGGGCAGGTGACGTCCCCTCTCTCTGCCTCAGCTTGCCCATCTGTAAAGTGGATGCTCTCATGCCTCTAAGCATCCAGTGAATAGTGTGTGTAAAACATCCAGCAGCTCCCAGCAGAGCACAGGCATTCAAAAACAGGAGCTGTTGTATGACTGCTCTCATTCCTCCTCCTCCCATCCCACTCATCTTCAAGGCACCGAACCACCGTGAGCCTCAGTCTCTTTATCTCTAAAATGGGGGACTATGTTGATGCCAATTTCACCAGGATTGCTGTGTCAGGTCAGTGAGTGAGTTCATGTAAGTCAGTGGTTCCCAACAGTGGAGGGCAAGGTGCCTCCCAGAGGAAAGCCAGGATAGTTTTCATTTTGATAACTGGAAGAGTTGCTACGGGCAGCCACGGGGCACAGACCAGGGATGCTGCTGGCCCACAGGGCACAGGATGCACCCCAGCACAGACGCCCGGCCCACATGGCCGCAAGCTAAGGCCGAGCACGCTAGGCCTGATGCAGGTGAGGCCCTTAGCAGAGAGCTTGGTGTACATGCAGTCAGTGCCGCGGTCCCTCGTTATTATTTAGTGCTGGTTTGTTGTTGTTATGGTTACCAAACGTACTGACACAATCAGGAAGAACTAAGATGTGAACCTATCGTGTCTGGACGTAGGCTGCCACCCAGACACCGGGAAGAAGGTGATGGGGGAGGCGGTCATGACGGGTGGGCCGGGGACCCTGGGAAAACCGCCTCGCCCCTCGAGCCTCGTGCCCACCTCTGGAAAACGGTCCGTCACTCCTCCCCCAGGCGGCTGCATAGACTCTGGAGCCTGCTGCACACCCTGCGCTGCCTCTTCCGCTGGGACCCCCTGGGCTGGCCCCTTACCCTCTCTGCGCCTCTGGTTGTCATGGGTCACATGGGGACGGCCCAGGGTGAGCCTCAGTTGCTGGAGGGTGAGATGATGAGCACTTGACCCTGAGGGGGACAGTGCACCCAGGAGGGCTCAGCCAGCGCGCCTCACTCACCAGGCTCTGTGCCTCACCAGCTTCTCTCCTCCCTCTCCGTCTCCGTGCCTGCAGGGAAGGAGAGCTGCTTCGAGCGGATAATGCAGAGGTTCGGCAGGAAGGCCGTGTACATCGTGATCGGGGACGGGGTCGAAGAGGAGCAGGGAGCGAAAAAGGTACTTCTTCCCTCCCCCGGCCGCTGTCGCTCCTCTCCGGAGCCATGTCGAGTTTCCAGGGCTCTGAGGACACCTGCTGCCTGCCAGCCGGCCCCCTCTCCGCTCTTTGCTTCCCATTTGCACATCGCAGAAGCATCCCGAGTAATTTCCTTCTGCAAATCCCCCTCCCTGCCTCTGGCCGCCGCCCTGGCGGCCCTGGGCTGTTTCTGGGACGACTGCTCTGAGCAGGAGACGCTGTCAGGGCGGGCCGGCGGGGCTGGGCCACGTGTGTTTTATTTAAGACTCACTGATCGCGTGTTCCAGGAACCCTCCCCAGTTAATAAAGGCAGCATTAGGCTAATGAGAAAGAAAGTCCCGCGTGTGATGTCAGGCCCGGGAGGGGGGAGAGGGGCCGGGGGCCTGGTAGCCGCAGCTCTGCTCTTGGAAAAGAAACAGCAGCCAGAGATCTGGGTCCGGGCCTGTCAGCCGCGTCCCTGGGACCTGCAGGCCCCCCCCCCCCCAGAGGCCTGGGAATGGATTGTTAATGTCACAGAGCTTCATTCAGGCAGGTTTCCTCCCTCTTCCACGGCAACTGCTTCCAAGGAAATGCAGCCATGGTTAGGGTCTCGGAGGGTGAACCATAAAGAGAGGGAGGGCCCCGAGGGTGTGGGAGAGGGGCTCGGGAGGAGAGCTTGGAACCTGGGCATATACTGCTCCCTGCACCTGGAAGGCTCCCTCCCTCCCCTTCCCCTTCTCCCCTACCCCCCTCCCCCCCACCATCCCCTCCCCACACACACACACACTCATCCTTCAGTCTCAGCCCAGCAGGACTTCCTGCGTGAGGAGTTCTCAGACCGGCTCCCCCTCTGCCCTTCCAGCTACATCAGTCCTGCCGGCGACCCCCTTCCCCACCCCCACGGTCCTTATTCTTTCTTCCGGAAGTTGTCCCCACTTGTCATGAGAGGATTGTCCCTGCATTCGGTGGCTTAGTCACAAATCCTCCAGCCGCAGCGTAAGCTCCACTGGCTGGTACCCTCTGTGTGCCGGCCACTGTTGTTGGGGGTCCCGCAGAGAGCAGAGCAGACGGGGCTCGCACCCCTTCCTCAGCTCACAGGCCGGGACAGTAGGCACCGGAGTGTCACTGTGTGTCAGGTGGTGAGCAGGGCTTTAGGGGAAATAAAGCGGAGGGTGGGAGCAGAGGGGACTCCAGGGGAGGGGCAGGTTGCACGTGTAGCTCGGGGCCAAGGCAGGCCTCCCTGCGAGGTGACATCAGATTGAAGATGTGAGCCAAGTGGATATCAGAGGGAGGGCATTCCGAACGGAACCAGGACGGTCAGAGGCCTGCAGGCTGGAGCCCCTGCAGGAGCCGGCCTGGCCACAGAGGAGGACCAGGCACTGGGGAGTGGTGGTGGGGAGGGGAGGGGCCCTCAGGAGAACCTCAGCTTTCACTCTGAGCACTTGCTCTAAGAGGAAGAGCTTTCACTTTTAATGATGAATTGGATTAGAGGGAAATGTATTGAATAAATGACAGTGATAGAGGCGATACACAAGAATAGGGCCAAGGTGGTGGCTGAGTCACGGGAATTATCCCTGAGTTACCGGAGTGCCAGAAGCGCCGTGCCAGGTCCCGGCGTGGTCTGCGTGGTGAGACTGCCCTCAGCCCACTGAGCCCCTTCCCCCTCCCAGTGCAGGCGGAGCGGAAAGCTCCGCCCAAGGCCGGGACAATGAGTATTGAGCTTTTTGCTTCAATCCAAGTTGGGCTGGAGAGTTCCCCTGCCTGTGGCCCTGAGCTCACCCTCACCTGGAGAATGTCAGGTACGTCCTTGGACCAGTCACTGCCAGATGCCCAACCGAATAGGTCCATGGTCGGCAAACTGTGGCTGAAGAGCCACATGTGGCTCTTTGGCCCCTTGATTGTGGCTCTTCCACAAAATACCACGGCCTAGGTGAGTCTATTTTGAAGAAGTAGCATTAGAAGAAGTTTAAATTTAAAAAATTTGGCTCTCAAAAGAAATGTCAATTGTTGTACTGTTGGTATTTGGCTCTATTGACTAATGAGTTTGCTCACCCCTGGGATAGGGCATAGATATTTTTCAATAACCCCTTTATTATCCTGAAGTGAAATACTAATGATAGTATAACAGATAACTGCCCAAAACATCAGTATCTAATGATTCTATTAGAGAAATAATGGGAGAATTATTTACACTCATGCCCTTAACTACAGCTCTTTATTACCGCCATTACCACTTTATTTAATCCTTAAGACCTCCCTGCAAAATGGGTATTATTCCACTTCATTTTGCAGGAGACAGATTTGAGACTCAGAGGGGTTAATTAACTTACTTAATAAGGCCACACAGCAGGTACAAGCAAACTGATGTGCGTTTTGCTCCAAGCACCTGGCAGGAAGGAGACAGACTTAGGAGTTTCACTGTCAGACCACACCCCTGAGCTTGTCAGATGAGATGGAGTCCACCAGAGATTAGGGTTCACACCTCCACACACACCGACTCCCCTAAAACCCTCCCCAGTGTCAGCAGCAGCAGGCTGCCCATTAGTGAGGAGCGCTGGGTGCCAGCGACTCTCCTAGCCTGATAGGGGGAGGCATTAGCCCCGGCACCTGAACAGCATGAAATACAGCAACAGGACAGAGGGCTTTGTTCCGGCTGACAGTGTTGTTAATATCTCCATCTTAGTGGGTCATTTGTCTCCCTGTCTCCGCACGTGATAAATCCACCTGTGCTCTGGCCCATCAGGCCCGGGATGGAGGCGGCCGAAGCATTTCCTCCCTCCTTTGCTCAGATCCTCCCGGAAAAGTGAATGACCGTCTTTAAAGGGGGACAAGAGCTGCGACCAGAAGCCACCCTTGCAGAGGAAGGAAGGGTGGGCAGGGTGGAGGGAGGATGGGGAGCTGGGCCACTGGAAGCCATTAGAGATGGCATCTGCCCATGATGGATAGGATTCTGCTTCCCTGGAGCAAGAGAATGTGCTTAATGTCAAAGGCTGGTTCTGGCCAGCCAGCAGCCCACCATCTGTTGAGAGAGAGAGGGGGGTGGGGGGGAGAGAGAGAAGAGAAGAGAAGAGAAGAGAAGAGAAGAGAAGAGAAGAGAAGAGAAGAGAAGAGAAGAGAAGAGAAGAGAAGAGAAGAGAAGAGAAGAGGGGAGGGGAAAAGAAGGAGGAGGAGGAGGAGGAGGAGGAGGAGGAGGAGGAGGAGGAGGAGGGGAGGAGGGAGGGAGGGGGAGAGAGAGAGAGAGAGAGAAAGAAATGTATTTGTTGAGGACTTTGCTTGACGAACTCACCTTCCCCCTTCTCCTCCCTCTCTCCTCCTTCCTGCACCATGCACGGCCAAGGGTAAAGCTGGGGGCAGTGAAGGATTTAGAAAAGACAGACAAGAGAATGAAAGCTGGGTCTCTGTGGGACGCTGCTTCTCTGAAGGAGAGACAGCGACAGTGCCCGCAAGCCAAGTCTTTACTTTATAGCTGGATTCCACCAGACAAAGTAAGGGCATGGTCAAGATGTTTACAATTTTCTAATCTACTCAACTACATGCACCTGAACTCTATCAAGCCGTGCTCAGACCATAGGTTCAAGCTTATACCCATAGCCTCTGGCTGTAATTATGCTGGGAGGGCTTTGCCCCCAGCCACCTTCCCTGTTGGCTTCAGTAGGTCACAAGGCAGAGAGATGCCAGACAAATCCCCGGCAAACAGGAATGGGGCTGCATGACTCGCTCGGATTATCACAGGTCCTCGCCAGCATCTGGTCACGGCGCTGCTAGATTCAGGGTTTTGGAAGCAAGGGGTAGGAAGGTTGGCTTTTGGGCAGGCAACCACTTTAGCCAATGGTTACATTTTCCAGTGACAAAATGCAGTCAGCTCTCTTCTCTGGAGCCAGACATGACCTCTCTGCGCCTCAGTTGCCTCGTCTGTAAAATTAGACATATGCCTCTCTCGGAGGGTCCTGACCTGGTTAGATGGAGTAATGTGTTGCATTACGACTATGATTGCAATCCTAGTTATCACTAGTTTGCCACTAAGGTAACTTTAGTCACATAAAGTCTCGTCTCTTTCTCCTCCCTCTCTGGAAAAAACCTTGTTTGTTTTGAGTGTTTCTGTTTGTTTGGATGACTCGGCAAGATAATAAAGCACCTAGCACAGCGTCCAGCTCAGTAACAGTAGATTTAAAAGACTGTTATTTAAAGCATGGTGTGTCAAAACATCGCACATCTTACTTATTGTTTAAACTGCTGAAGACCCCCCCAGATTCATCCCTTCGCACACATATACTGCCTGTCCTGCATGCTTCCTGACTTTGTCCCACTTATACAACATGTCCTTGTAGAAATAGACATGACGTACATACACATAATCATGATAGCAGCTAATGCTTATGGAGCACTTAGTGGACGTGCACTGTGACTAGCCATGGTGATGGGACTCGGCAAATAGCTAACATCTTACAAAACAGCCGGGTGACTTGCTTAAGGTCACCCAGCAGGTGGCGGTAGAGCCGAGCTTTGGCCAGGACGCTGCTCCTAACCCTCAGGCTGTGGAAATAGTTCACACACTTCTTACTCACGAGTGATTTCAGCGTTAACACACCACACACCAGCCACCACTTTTGTTCTATCTGCATGCTACCTATACCAGCTATTTTCTGCCTTCTTCATCTCATGGCACACGTAAACTAATTATTAAAATTCTGTGGCACACCAAAAAAAGTTTTTTTGTTGATTTGACAAAAAAAAAAATAGGTGTAATTTTGATTCATTAATACTGGACAGCTGTTGTTGTGTTGGATGTTGTCATTTTTTTATTCTTTGACAATCTAAAGGGAAAGAGGTCAGGTATTGCATGCTTTAAAAATTCTTGCATCACAGCGGTTGAAAATCACTGACCTACACTATTATCTACTTAATGTGTTCCTTCCAATCAACTCACTTCTATTTAAAATTGGAAAACTGCCCTAGCCAGTTTGGTTCAGTAGATAGACCATTGGGCCGAGGACTGGAAGGTCTTAGGTTCAATTCCAATAAAGGTCACATACTTCCGTTGCAGGCTCAATCCCCAGCCCTGGTTGGGGATCGAATGCATGTGGAAGGCAACCAATGGTGCTCTCACATCAATGTTTCTCTCTCTCTCTCTCTCTCTCTCTCTCTCTCTCTCTCTCTCTCTGTCTCCCTTCCTATTTCTCTTTAGAAATCAGTGGGAAAATATCCTCAGGTGAAGATTAACAACAATAAAATTTAATTATTTAATTAAAAATAAATTAAATTTCAAAAATTGATCCTGCTCTGGCCAGGTAGCTCAGTCATCCCAATATGCCAACGTTGCAGGTTCAATCCCTGGTCGGCAAAGCCCTCCCAGCATAAGAGAATCAACCAGCAAATGCATAGATAAGTAGAACAACAGTGACTCTCTCTTTCTCTCTCTTCCTCTTTCTCCCTGTATAAATTAATAAATAAGCCCGGCTGATGTAGCTCAGTAGTTGAGCATCGACCCATGAGCCAAAAGGACTCTAGTTCGATTCCCGGTCAGAGCACATGCCCGGTTTTTTGACTCAATCCCCAATTTGGGGCATGCCCGAGGCAGCCAGTGGATGATGCTCTCTCCCTCTCTCTTCCTCTCCCTGAAATCAATAAAAACACATTTTTTAAAAAATAAAATCAATATAGCTGAAACCGGTTTGGCTCAATGGCTAAAGCGTCGGCCTGCAGACTGAAAGGTCCCGGGTTCGATTCCGGTCAAGGGCATGTACCTTGGTTGCGGGCGCATCCCCAGTAGGGGGTGTGCAAGAGGCAGCTGATCGATGATTCTCGCTCATCGATGTTTCTAACTCTCTATCCCTCTTTCTTCCTCTCTGTAAAAAATCAATAAAATATATTATTTTAAAAAATAAAATAAAATCAATATATAAAAATTAAAAGAAACTTGATCCCATGATGGCAATACAGAGCGAGCATCGCCTGCTCTAAAGAAAAGGAAAAGAGAAAAACAAAAGTGACAAAGAGCCAAAGCCAGTTTGGCTCAGTGGATGGAGCGTCAGCCTGTGGACTGAAGGGTCCCGGGTTCGACCCCAGTCAAGGGCATATACGTTGGTTGTGGGCACATCTCCAGTAGGGGGTGTGCAAGAGGCAGCTGATTGATGTTTCTCTCTCATTGATGTTTCTGACTCTCTGTTCCTCTCTGAGGAACATATTTTTTTTAAATATATTTTAATGATATTTTTACAGAGAGGAAGGGAGAGAGATAGAGAGCTAGAAATGTCAATGAGAGAGAAACATCGACCAGCTGCCTCTTGCACACCCCCTACTGGGGATGTGCCTGCAACTAAGGTTCATGCCCTTGACCGGAATTGAACTTGGGACCTTTTAGTCTGCAGACCAACGCTCTATCCACTGAGCCAAACCGGTTTCGGCTATATATATATTTTTAAAGTGACAAAGAAAACCACCCTCGCCACCAAGGCCTGCCCCACACTTTGTTCACACACGAGGAGCAGGTGTCAGCGGGGCTGGCAACTCGCTGAGACGTCCTTCTGGAAACAGCAGGACTGGGAACACATTTTAAATCAGTCGCCCTCTCGCTGTGCGGTTAATGCCAGGTGGTCTCGGTGGATGACCTGGGCAGAACAGGCCAGAGGGGATGAAACCGGTGTGGCCTGATGGGTGGGTGCCGGTTTGCTAACGGACATCGGGTGCCTCCTGGTTTGGAAAATGCCCACTGGCTCTGCTGTCTGGCGTTGCCATCGCACAGGGCCAGGGGGTGCAGGCCAGGGGGCCGCGGGGCGCAGAGCAGGGCCTAACCATGGGCTGGTGTTCTGTGTTCCAGCACAACATGCCTTTCTGGCGGGTATCCTGCCACGCCGACCTGGAGGCGCTGAGGCACGCCCTGGAGCTGGAGTATTTATAGCAGAGCCCACACGTCCGTCACACCTGCCCCCGGACCACCCGCCCAGGCCTCGCCTCCCGCCGGACGCTGGGCCCGGGGCAGGGTCCCTGCAGCCAGGAGGAGGAATCCGTCCGTCCGGGACCATCCCTGAAGCTGTTCTTCCCGTCCAGACGCGGGTCCGGAGACGCAGAGTCCCTGGCAGTGGCTTTGGGGCGTCTGACTTTGGGGGAAAGGGCTGACCGGGAGGCCAGACTTTCCTCCGAGTCTCACAGAACAAAGGCGGGGGGCCGATCCGGGGGAGGGCTGGGACGAGGCGGGACAAGGCTCGGGTTTTCTTCTTCTTCTTAATTTATGGACGAATCTCATTCCCCCGCTGTTATGTTCTCATCCCGTGTGGTTGGTTTCCTTAGCGTTGGTCCGGCTTGGTTTGGAAACAGGCATGCAGAGCGGCCTGGGTTCTGATGTGGGCACACCGCTCCAGGCGTGCGTGCTTTTGGGGGGACAATCATCTTCGAGCAATCGGCAAGGGTGGCGCCTGGGGGCTGTGGGAAGACTGTTGCTTATTTCTGTGGGTAAGGACCTAACCTGACGTCGTGTGGACAATGCACGTGCCTTATGCTGCCATCTTGTTTTCTGGAGGTGGGGGTGTGGGGAGGAGGCGGTACCTTGTGATGGAGAGAAAGCATTCAATAAAACCACGTTTACATTTTGAACCGGGTATTGGGTGTCGTTACTTCGTGGCCACTCCTGCGGCTTCTGAATCTGTTCGTCTTTCCAGGACCTTTTCACTTACAAAGGAATAAAACCCAACTCAGACTTGCCGAAGCCAAAAAATAAAAATAAAAAAGTCTTTGGAAACTTTAGGTGATGGCTTCTCTGGGCGTGGCTGTATCCAGACGGCCAAACGATGTTCTCCTGGTTGGCCTTCCTTCCCTACAGGCTCTTCCCTGAGCGGCAGAGAGGCTTCGAGAATCTTCTAGCAAAACCACACGGGCCAAAAGGGTCACGGGCTCCATGGAGCTGGATTTGGGGTGTGATCCCTCATGAGCATAAAGCTGGGGAGAGCTGGTCCCCAAAGGGAAAGTCAGTGGCTGTTACTAAAAGGACTGGGGGGAATGAGGGCTGGGCTGAACAATACAACACCTTCCGGTCCAATGGTGAGATTTTATTTTCCAGCGGGTGAGCCAAGGACTCATGGAGGGGCAGGAGGGTCGTTTAGAAAAGTTCTGAGGACACCTGGAGGACTGATGCTGCTCATAGAGGTCCAATCAGGGCCGGATCCATCTGGTTAGATGCTAAATGCAAGTGTAGGCTCCCCCCGCTATCCGTGTTGGTGAAATTCAGGTTACCAGTTGCTGGTGTATCCACGTGGGTGGAGTCAGGAGATGACACGGTAATTGGAGTCTCCCAGCTAGAATCTCTGAGGCTAGAAGGCCATCACCCAGGGTGAGACAGACCACCCCACACACTACACCCTGAGCTCCCTTGGGGCAGGTTCTGTTGGTTTCGATTCTGCATCCCAGAGCAAGCACTGAGTGGATGCTGATACCTATTGGAATCCCATTCTAGATGAGATGGAAGGGAGGATGAAAGTATGGCTGGAATCATAGTCAGATGGACATTTGGACAGATGGATGAATATATGGTTAAATAGTTGGGTGGGCGGGTGGATGGTTGGTTAGGTGACCAGATAGTGGAGAATTAGAAGGTGAATGGCTAGCTGGGTGATAGGAGGATGGATGGGTAAATAGATGGTTAACTATCCATAGGATGGTTTTTTATATAGAGCTATGGGTAGATGGATGATGGGATGGAAGACTGAACTGATGTGGTGAGATGAGTGGGTGGAAGGCTGTTTGTATGAGTGGATGATGGTGTGGTATTATGGAAAGGTGAGTGAGTGAGTGAGTGAGTGAGTGAGTGAATAGGTGTTTGGATAGACAGATGGAGCTTGTTTCTGGCCACAGTCTCCCCCCAAATAACAGCACCAGCCTTTTCCTTGTGGGCCTCACGGTGCTGGTGCGAAGGCTGAGAAAACCAGTTCTGTGACTCAGACGACCTCCTCCTTGCCCCATCCCAGGAGCCTCGCCTCTGCCGAGCCACTGCCGCCAAAGCGGTCCGGGCTGGGACCCCAGGAAAGCCCCGGCAGGTGTGCGTGGTGGTGCTGCAGCCACTCATTCACCCCACCTGGTCAGGTGGGGTCAAGGGGTCAACAACCATCTACCAGGCGCTCTTCTCGACTTCCGGGTGCGAATGGACGGAAGCCGTCCCTACCCTCCCGGAGCTGACATTCCTGTGCAGGGAACACGCCAGGAAGCAGGCGGACGCCCTGTGACCCCGGCTTTCTCACGCACCAGCCTTCTCCCGTGAGAAGAAAGGCGGAGGGGGAGCAGGGAACCAGCACGCACACCTGTTTCTCCGCACACGGGCTTGCTTTCCCGCTTGAACCACACCTCAGTCCCCTTTCAGGAAGAGGAGAGGGGCAGGAGGGGAGAGCAGGCCATGTGACCTCAGGGGGAGGAGAAGGTGGATGGAGGCTGAGGCCAGCCAGCATCCAGGAGACCAGCTGAAAGGGGTCCTGAGAGTGAGTGTCCCAGGCTGTACCCCGAGCAGCATGCAGGCTCCACAGAGTGGCCCGTGCTTGTCCCAGGGACAGGCTTCCTGGTGGCTGAGGTTGTGAATGCGAGGCCTGGAGCTGCTCGGTCAGCGGTGGAGGCTGCCTCCTCCTCAGGCCCTGGCTGCAGGTGGGGCGATGCAGTGCTGGTCTCCTCTGCACAGGGAAGAGCCGAGATCAGCCCCGGATGGTGAGAAGAGCCGGAGAACGCATTCCAGGGAGAGACCAGGAGGCTCAGCGTTCCCAGGTGAGCTGGAGGGGGGCTTTTCGGCTGCAGGGAACGAAAGGAGGCCGAGTGGCCAGAGGCCTGGGCAGAGGCCAGGGGGCAGAGGGCAAGGCCAAGTCGGATCTGGCTGGACCCTTTGATCGTGGCTTTTGGATTTTGGTGGAGTGGGGATTTTATTCCAAACCCAACGAGGACGCCAGACTTCTAAGCGGGAGAATGGCCACAGTGGGGAGGATGGCTCGGAGTGAGGAGGATGGTGGCAGGGCCTGTGGTCACGGGACTCCCCGTGAACTTAAAGGAGATTTTCTAGCTTTATTTTATAGTCCAGGGCGTTCACTCACAAAGCACAAGTAAGCACCTTGATGTGTTTTCACCTGTGATTGCCCGTGAGTGAGCGCCACCCTGATCGAGATGGAGGATAAGCTGCCTCTCGGCCCTGCCCAGCCTCTGCCTCATTCCACAGGCTTCTGGTTGTCGCTGCGTTTGGTCACATCTAGTTCATATAAGAGTAAGCGGGCCCTCGGGACGTTCCCCTCGGTGCCTGGCTTCGCTCTCACATGATGCTTTTAAGGTGGCTCCCGCTGTTGCATGGTCTGCAGTCATTCCATCCCCCCCGCCCCCCCCCCCCCCCCCCCCGCACTGTTCAGCTCCTGTTGAGGCCAGCTCAGCGCAGGCGGGGCTGTGCTCTCCGGTGACCACCAGAGGGCAGTGCAATGCCGCGACCGGCCTGAGCCTCCTGCAAAGCATCTCCTTCAGGCCCCGCCCAGGCTTCCTGGTAAACTGACTTGACTTGTGCCACATGGAGATCCCGGTCCAGAGGAGTGTCTGTGCTGGGAGGCAACTGGGCACTGTAGTGGCCTCAGGAGCCATCGGCCCCACAGGGCTGGGAAGCATTGGTCCCCTGGTCCCCTCGCTCTGCCCAACTTGAAACATTGCCTGCTCTGATTTTTAATAACGTGAATCTAATAGTTTAAATTGTTTGGGAAAGATAGAGATTTATTTTTATATCCAGAACTTCTGAGGATGCTGATAAGCTTGCTCCAGCCAAATACTGCTTTTTAAATTCCATCATTAACTACTTGGCAAAAAAAAAAAAAAAAAAATATATATATATATATATATATATATATATATTTGGTGAACACTAGCTGTAAGTAGTGAGGGTGTGTCTTTGCCCTTACAGCCTCGTCCCCCACTCTGCTATAAATGGGCCTACAGAGACCCAGCCCTCCTCTCTCTCTCTCTCTCTCTCTCTATATATATATATATATATATATAAATATATATATATATATATATATATATATATATATATATACATATACACACACACACACACACACACACATACACACACACACACTAGAGGCCCAGTACATGGAATTCATGCATTGGGGAGGGAGTCCTTCAGCCTGGCCTGTACCCTCTCCAATCAGGGACCCCTTAGGGGATGTCTGACTGGGATTGGGCCTAAACCGGTATAGTTGGACACCCCTCTACGATCTGAGACCACTGGCTCCTAACTGCTTGACTGCCTGCTTGGCTGCCCCCTAACTGTCTGAAAGGAAGTCAGAAGTCCGGAAGATGTCCCGTCACCCATTCTAATTAGCATATTACCCTTTTATTAGTGTGTGTGTGTACATATATATATCTTACCTAATAATAGACAAACATGTAAATTGACCATACCTCCGCTACACCCACAGCCAATCCGTGTGAGTATGCAAATTAATCAATTAAAGATGGTAGGTTAATTTGCATATGCAGGCATGGAACAACCAGCTGGGGTGGGACACCTGCTATGAGGGGGAGGGAGAGGGGCAGAGGGAGCAGTGCTCTGGCTGGGAGTGAGGAGTTGGCGGCTCCTGGGCAGCCGGGAGCAAAGCCAGTGGAAAGAAGGCCTATTCTTGCACAAATATCATGTAATGGTCCTCTAATATATATATATGGAGAAATTGCAATTACAAGCCCAGTTTTTAACATTTATTAAGCATCTACTGTGTCCCAGGCACTAGACTAAGCCCTTAACCTGAATCAGCTCAACCACCATGGCCCTGTCTGGAGAGGAAGGATAGCATGATGGTTAAGATCATTGGGTCAAATCCCAGCCCTTCCTTTTACTACCTGTGGATGTCACCTCTGTGAACCCCAGCTTTTCAGTTGTTAATGGGGATGACAGAG